AGTGCAACGGCACTTGTGATTTTGAGTTTTGGCTCACGGACTAACAGTGGATGATTGTAGGGACGACGTGCCGATGTACAGGAGCAACTCGACCCACCAGAGGTCTCGGCGTTAGCGTTGCAACCTGGCATCGAAAAAAGGGTCAAGTAGCAAAAATAATAACTAATACTCAGTACTTGGTGCGGTACATGGTACATGGTGTGTGTGTGTGTGTGTGTGTGTGTGTGTGTGTGTGTGTGTGTGTGTGTGTGTGTGTGTGTGTGTGTGTGTGTGTGTGTGTGGTGTGTGTGTGTGTTACTGTGTTTCTGTTTGTGTGTGGTGTGTGTGTGTGGTGTGTGTGTGTGTGTGTGTGTGTGTGGTGTGTGTATGTGTGTGTATGTGTGTGTATGTACAGTCATGTATGTGTATGTGTGCAAGGGTACGTTGGGCTGTATGTACTCAAGGCTTGGTGGGGCATTTTCAATCATCATGGCTTGGGTGCGAGTTCCCAGCCAATTTGCAGTGATCCATGCAGGCGACCTCCGGGTACGCCGGTCTAGAAGGCACCTGACAGGCCTGTCGACGCAGGATGGTGCTGGGGTAGGCATTGGCCATTGAAAACTGAATTTTGTCTGTTTTACGTGGAACTTCTTGGAGTTTCCCCAATGTATTGTACTTGAATAAAATTCTATTTTACCTTTCATGGTATCTCAATTTTTTCACGTCTACATGATTTTATTTTGCCCGTAAAAGAGGCCGTTAAAGGGGAAGTATACCCTAAAATCAAATTTTCACCAGTTGTAGTCTTCGGGGTGCTGAGTCGAATGGTCTTGGTCCGAGGAAGCTGAGACGCTCCCTTCCTACTTGAATCCCAATCGAACTCGCGCACTTCCACCGAAACTGGGTGACTGCGCCCTACTAGATGGGGATTTGTATGCAAAATGTCACTAAAAGCGCCATTTCGTTCTTATAAAAGCACGGATGACCGCGATTGGCCCATATGTTGTAGTCTTTTGGACGCTGAGTCGACTGGTTTTGGTCCGAAAAGGCTGCGATGCAGCGTTCCTCCTTTATTCCCAATCGAACATGGTTGAACAAGCGGTCACGTGCTCCTGCGTACGCCAGTCACCTGGTCACCGTGCCTGCAGGGTACAACTTACTAGCCTGTTTGACCTTTTTTGGGTGCAGTCCTGTCACTCGAGTTGAACTCGAGTTGAACCTTGGTGTGAAAGTTCTCGCCTGCTGGCGCGGTGACCAGGTGATTTGGGCACCCAGGAGCACGTGACCGCTTGTTCAACCATGTTCGATTGGGAATAAAGGAGGAACGCTGCATCGCAGCCTTTTCGGACCAAAACCAGTCGACTCAGCGTCCAAAAGACTACAACATATGGGCCAATCGCGGTCATCCGTGCTTTTATAAGAACGAAATGGCGCTTTTAGTGACATTTTGCATACAAATCCCCATCTAGTAGGGCGCAGTCACCCAGTTTCGGTGGAAGTGCGCGAGTTCGATTGGGATTCAAGTAGGAAGGGAGCGTCGCAGCTTCCTCGGACCAAGACCATTCGACTCAGCACCCAGAAGACTACAACTGGTGAAAATTTGATTTTAGGGTATACTTCCCCTTTAAGACGAAAAAAAGGCTTGGTGGGTGTCACTGTTACATGTACATGTATGTGTGTGTGTGTGTGGTGCACCAATGCTACTTACCCCCCCCCTGATGCTATCATATTCATTAGGTCGGATTTCTCTGGTCCGGACTGTAGCCGCCAATCCTTCTCTGTCATGGGATCTTCCACCACTAGTGCACTGAGCCTGCTACTAGTGCTAGTGAGACACTGAGTCACGAACAACAAGTACTGAGTAGGTTACGAGCATCTGTACACGTGACACACCTGTTGTACTCAAATCAGGAGTTGGAGTGAAGACTTTCAAGTGCTTTTTACTTTGGAAGATTTCAAGTGCCAGTGATCAGTATCGCCCAGAAGAAAACATTTGTGCCAGGGTTACCCGCATACGCACTCAACGCCAGGAGGGTATCTGCGTACACACATTAGAGGAAAACACTGTACTACTACAACTAACTTACAAGTGCACTCACTCGAAAGATTAGTAACAATAATAATAATTATTGTCCTAAACCTCGAAGACGCTGTGAGCAGTGAGCAAGCGCAGGACCAGTCAGGCAGTGGCCAGAGTTCAAACGACACTATTCAATACTGCAAACAATAGGAATAGTACACAGGAGCGATCAGTGACAACCCACCATTGCATTGTCCTCTGTTGTGTTTGCCTTGTGCGGCGGCGGGCCCTTGATAAGAACTGGCTGCGAGGCGTGTCATTAGTATACGAGTTGCATGCACACAAAATCAAAAGTACTTGTCTTTACTAACACCTCTGTTATCATAATACATCCACACCCATTGGCATTGTTTTCCTGTCGCTTGCACTGTGTGACTCATGGTGGGTCCAATGTTATTAGGCATTTTGCCTGTTTTGATTTCCACTATAAATAAAGTATACAACAACAACAACAATGGCATGCACATGCCATGGTTGACTCTTGCGGAAAATGCATGCTAAAAATAGAGACGTGCATGTACGTGTACATTGTAGATGACGAACCCTCATGGAGTCATGGAGTCATGGAGTCATGGAGTCATGGAGTCGTGCTACAAGACGTGGAGCTAGATGATAGACCGCATGCCGCACGTAGAGTTCAACGGCGAGCAGCGGTGATACGCCCAGGGTTCTAGGTTCTACAACAAACCTTCTGGGCGAAAGACATTGTAACACATGTACTTGTACTTGTATGTACTAACTTCGCTAAACGTCCAGGAAGGCGAGAACGAAGTGGAGAGTCAGGCGAACAATGGCCTGGGCTGTTTGCACAGTCTCTTCTTCTCGTCCTAACTTGCATAATTACGTACACGTACATGTACATGTACACAAGGCAGAACAACAGAGACCAAAAGCTTTCTCGTAACTCGGAGTTTCGTGTTGAAAAACACTCATCAGACGATAAAACATGATGTGCTATTCGCTGGTTATACATTGTACTACATGTACATGATGATGTATAGGGTTATTGTAATGTAGGCTAAGGCAGTGCTATAACCACAATAGGAGGTAACACCAGCGCTGGAATACATAATTGCGAGTAATAGCCTCCTATTACTAATAGGAGTGCAAGTGTCATGGCTGAGGTGTATTGCTACATGTATACCAAGATGGGAGAGACATGTACATGTACGTGTAGAACTGGCGCAAGAAGTACAATGTCATGTAGATTTCAGTGGGAATTGTGTCCGGCGGAAAAGGTTGGACAGTAGATGTTACATTGCAGTGTGGATATTGACGCAATATGTGGTTTAGTTAGTGCGAGTGTGAATTAATGAGGGTGTGTGTGTGTATGTGTGTGTGTATATGTGTGTGTGTTTGTATGTGAGTATGTGTGTGTGTGTGTGTGTGTGTGTGTGTGTGTGTGTGTGTGTGTGTGTGTGTGTGTGTGTGTGTGTGTGTGTGTGTGTGGCTGAATAGTGACGGTCAATTCTTCAGCCTTGCAAGCTGTTGAATGGTGCAATCCCAGCACAAGCTGCTATGGCATCTGCCGTAGCATTGCTATCATCGCCTCCGGCGATGGGCGTCAAAGAAAGAAAGAAAGAAAGGTGTGTGTGTGTGTGTGTGTGTGTGTGTGTGTGTGTAAACACCGCGTATCCCATCATGTGACCCCAGTGTAGTTTGCGAGCGAGAATTTGTTCATGTTGGCATGTCTGCAGTTCGAGATGAGCTCACTTCTCTTGTTGAGGCATGTTGCTCTATCCGCGGTCATGATTCAGACCTTCTGCGAGAGGCAAAGTTGACACCTCTTGCTATAGCGCTTATGTTGCTGTAAGCTAGGGCTCGTTCCGAAATACTCCACTGGATCGAGTAGTCTTCCTGTCTTTCGTTCAATTTCCACACATACATTGTACTTGGAGAGGTCGGTACTCTTCCATCTCTGCTCATGATTGAATGAGTGCTTATGGCGTCCGCACCAGGTCTTGAAGTGTTGAGTGTTTTTGAGCAAGAAACTCCGAGTAACGAGGAAGCTTTTGGCAAATTTTAACTTTAAGTCAGTTTTGGTCTCTGGTGTTCTGCCTTGTGTAGTACACTCTGCCCTTGGTAGGGTATTTAGCACTATTTGCAGCAAAGACTTGAGACACTTTGTCCACATGTACATGTACAATGGCAAAGAAGGTAGAACGAGATTACAACTTGAGTTTAACGCCGTGCCGTGCCTAGGCTCAGCTAGGCAAAAGATGCCCAGCAGGCACAATGTCATGTATTTCCTGTCACAGCATCAACTAGCTTTAGTACACCTCGTTTACTCAGTAAACCAGGTAAAAAAGGTGCTAATGTCGCATACTAGCAGTAGGCAAAAGCCAAGAAGTACTACCAAAAGTGAACAACAATCTCAGGTTCTACATAATGATTGGAAATTTTTATTTCCATTGCTATCAGGTTCGGCCTCATTTCCTCTGTGCTGCGCTGACGAGTCCAAAAAGGACGAAACAGTTCTGTCCGCAGATTGAGTACATGTACAATGTCATGTAACAACTACACATGTACATTATAGTACAAGTACATGTACATGTATGGCTGCTTCAGCAAGTGGTATGAGTATGACTCTCCTGCCTGGTGATGGTGTGGAACTCGTTACTGCGCGCCAACACTCAATTAGTGACGTCGATGTGGACCCTACTGTACTGCAGCATGCAGGCTCCCTGGCAACCATGCAGGAGAGTCGTGCGATTCCCTGCTGACAACGCACATGCCACTGCACTAGCTAGAAGTAGAAGGTTAGCGGAGCCCAGCCATTTGACAACGCCGATGCCAATGGTTCAAATAATATGCTGACATCCAAGATATTAATCAGCCGAGAAACCCTGGGTATCTCGGAGGTGTCTCACGACCCAGCGAAGTAAAGTAGTTTCTGCCTGTGCCAGACAACCCTCGAAGCCGGAACTGAAGTGAAGGTGACGGTTATCAGTCCCAGTATACGACTACATATTATACTACTGTCAACTAGTAAATAGGTGCGGACACTGCAGTGAAAAGGCATAAAAGAGGAAAACACAAGGTGAATCAGTTGGGTCCAGTCCTTCACCATCATTCTACCCGGAAAGTGACAGATTCCCGGAGACATACCCAGCAAAGTCAGTCGCCGTCTACACCGTGTGTCCCCAACGAGCAGACAGAGGAAGTGACCAATCCATAGACGGTTCTCAGATAGGTAAGAAAATAGCAAATACACGTGGGTGCTAACTGCTCATGGAAGTGGGATCCAAAGGCGAGGGTCCATAAATTAATCTTGCAACATTACTGAATTGTGACTCGATCTCTACGACTCTGATCAGAATTTAAAAAGACAATTCTCCCCATTGCTGTAAATGGTAATTCTAAATATGTGTTGCCCTGCCCTACGAGTGGCCATGTCTTCCTATGTCATCCTTGTCCCGAAGGAAGAAACTTTTTTAGGCCTAGTTAGACACGAAGTATTGGATATACAACAAGAAACATTGGAATCTATAACAATTGAAAAACAGATCTTACACCAAACAGAGTGTTCGAGTAGCACTGACTGGACGTAGGCCAAGGCTAGGGAGAAGAGAAAGCATGTAGGGTACAATACATATATAAATTCGTTCTTACCAGCTGTATCTAAGCAAGGTTTTGTGCGATTGAAAACTGGTTCAAGTTAGATAAGTTGGATTGTCTTTCCATGATGAGCTATTTTGCGCATGGAATTGCATTGATTTTCCCACATTGGCCCGATGGGAAGTGATAATAATCGTCAAGGGATCCGTTTGAAATACATGTTTTAGTGTGTAATAGTGGGACAGGGTATTTGAAGGCACTCTGGGAGGATAAGCCAAGCCGCGAGTTCTCCATGTCTTCAGGAACCCCCTAGACCGAGGAACAGCCCAGTTTGGGGAATCTTTAAAATAAAACACAGTGTAACGTCACGTACATGTACATGTATACTAAGTTCAAATCTAATCCTCCCAGTGAGCCGGGGTCGTGATGCTCGGAGTGTAATCCACCTTTGGTCAAAACCGTTTTACAAGAGCAAGCGGTGCAGGTTGAGGTTTAGGAGTACGCTCAGATTAGTAATTCACTGTTTGCTTGCCCTCCAATATACTGGTAGCATGTAGCATGTAGTATAATTATAGTATGTCTTAACAAGCCAAGAACTCTCTTACTCGTTTCAGTGCTTCACCTATTGAAATTGATGTGCAGTGTTCTTGTCTTGTCATGTGCGTATCTGCTATCTGATTGCTTGTGATATGGGTTTGCCTGGTGGAGCATTCCTCCTGCGGTCCTGAGGCAATCGTGCATGAGGGTAGTGGAACTGAACGTTTATTAACGTGTTGGTCAACAATATTCTTTGAAGTGCAAATAGTGCGAGTTAAGGTTTAGGTACCAGCCCGGACTAATAACTCCCTTAGTGTTTCACTCTGAGAGCATGTCTTGGCTTATGGCTAGACATCGACCAAATATGCAAAAAATCGTATATTATGCTCTTCACATATCAGGGAAACTATCCATAATAATAGTAGGATAGTGACTCAGAAAATGGACAAACTTCAGGCTCTTTAAGAACTTTCAAAACTGTCAAGATGTTTTGAAGAGCCTCAAGTGTGTCCTTTTTCTGAGTCTTATCGCATTCTTGTCTCTGAGGAAACTGTTTATTGTTATTATGCCAAACGTTTCGGGCAGTACGCCAATATCATTATGCCAAAATGTGCCCAGAGTTGATCTTCATGTCTATGTATAACACACACCAGAAATGTGTGTCATACAATCACTACAGAAACATTGCTGGTCTAGGCTACACTGCATCTGCCTTGTTCCAGGGCTTTACGCGCCTCCATGAAAATGATCGATGGAAAAGACTTGGAAGAATGATGACAGGGTGCACAGCATTCTCACCTGTAGATCACTGTGCAGCATGTGGACTGTTTGGACCAAGTACTACTTTACAGGCGAGGAATCTGTTCATTATCTGCATAATATGCGGAAATCTGCTGATTTTCAGCTCTCGCTTTGTGACTCGACATGCAATCTGGCGTAAGCTTAGCTAGCCAAAATAATACGGAAAATACAGGCGCAAGCACATTGTGGTCGATGCCTGCTTAGTTTTCAAAACTTGACAAACTCTCACTCGTTCACTTCTTTTACAGTTGATCTATTCTCATTGCCATGTCCCCATCCGATTTATGAGCAACTTCTGTCTGTATCTGGCTGTCTATTTGCTTTTGCTAGGGTTCTGTCAATCTGGCGGAATATTCCTTCTGAGGTCCGGAGGCAACGGTTTCATATGTGCTGAGTACACTGCATCTTCTTCTCCTGCTTCTAGCCAGCTCTCTGCTCCATCGGAGACTGAAACAGTGGAGGGTTAGAACACATCAAGTCAGCATTTAGTTCTGTATCGGGTGGTTAAGACCTCTGTTCGGATGGCAACTTTGCTGGAAGGTTCACGCGTGCCATCGCCATGCCCATCCGAACCCGCGGCTCTGACGTTGCAGTTACCAAGCAGCGAGTGCAGTGATGAAGACACCCATTCACTGGGTGAGAGTGGCTACGACTCGTCCAGTCCCACCACCATGGAACCGAGCATCACTGCCCATGCGGAACAAGAAGGAGGAAATCGAGGAGACAGCGAAAATGGGATGCAAGTTTCAGATGGCTCTCCGAGCCCACAGCAGCACATCCGAAAAGAATCCATGGTAACACAGCGCCGTCGTTGCCATGGAAGGAAGAAAAAGAGCATTGTGGAAAAATGTGCCCCGGTGGGTTCATCCGAAGCCAAAGAACGTCGCAATAGCCGTGAGAAAGAACGCATCGGCAAGGTGAATGCAGCAATAGACAGCCTACAGGGATGCGTCTGGCATGAAACAGTGCCAAGCCGCCACCATCGCCGGCCTCGAGTCTACGTCCTCCGGCAGGCCACTCGTTATCTTCGTCTTCTCTCTAGCGCAGTAGAGGATGATGAGCTCCCTATCGGGCTGCTAACACAACTGCACGATCATGCTGCTGCTGAGAGAGGCAGTGTGGCACTGCAGAACATGGATGGGGCGAAGAGACTTCGTGAGATACTGTCGGCAGGAAGGTGCCAGGGACTATCACCAAGTATGCCAGATACGACGGCCACCAGCAACAGCACCAGCATCATCACCAGCACCAGCATCAGCACCAGCACCAGCACCTGCACACAGAGCAGAACCCAGAGCGTTCAGAGTCTACATGTATGTCGCAGCCCTTCCGCGCCCAAATCAGATAGCAGCCATGCTACCAGGAGTACTGTGCCATGGCAATTCGACCACGTGCTGCCCAACACGACAGACAAAATGGCTGCTCTGTATGATCCAAGTCAAGCCAGACCTGATCTGGACCGCATTTCTCCAGAATCTGATACTACCTTCAAGCCAGCCAATCTGAGTTTGTCACGTGATGCCGGAGAGGCTGAAGCATGGAGCAGTTCCCAGTTTGATTTATCCGCACTGGATCGCATCTGGAGCTTTCCACCTAGTTTTTCATAACACGATCGTGACGTACAATTGGATTACCGGTAGTAGATATAGTGAGAGAAATTCTTATACCACTGAGCTACATAATTTTATAATACGAGCATGTTTACAAATGATTTCGAAGCGCAGTTGACGATACAATCATCTAGTTTTACATGTACATTTACATTGTGTGCATGTATATACACAAGTTGTGTCACTGTCTCTAGCTAGGTGAAGATCTTGAGCAGTAATCTAGAGCTTGTCTGAACGCAGCCCGTACCGGATTGTGTTCCGATGTCGAATCTCTTTTTGAGCCATTAATAGAAGCATTATTATCGAGGTACATGTACTCACGACACGAATAATCTGACCTAAGGATGAGTAGAACCTCCTATTCATTACTCCCTTCCTCTCTCTCCTCTCATGATGTGTACAGCTGCATCTGTCGTTGGATTATTCCGTGTAGTGGACGTCGTGAGTTCCATGGGGAACGAGGACGAACATATACCGGTACAATGTCATGTACTTTCTTTTGTGTACGCTGCACAGAGTACGAGGTGAATAGCAATTTCTGGACATGAAAATAAAATAGAGGCCCACTGGCTGTGTGTTTTACATTTTCATATCTTTTTGTATCTATTGTATGGCCTAATCCTTCATCTTTCCAAATATGTGACAATTGCTCATGCTGTGATCCCAGAGACTTTATAGCAAGATGTTTTCGACAGGCCAATTTTTGGCCTAAATTTCAGTGTTTCGAATTCTGGACATGAAAATAAAATAGCGTCAATAGGCATCCTATACTGCACCATTTTTGTTATTTTTTCTATTGGTGGACTGCAGTTGGCCTCTTCACACTTCCAGCTAACAGGTCCAAGACTATACAGCGTCTGAAGTGAGGTGCACATGGGGAAGCCAACAATTCGTCCATTACTTCTTATTTTACTCAAAATTCAAAATTCTCATAGGACATAGTACCACAAAACTCGTTGAAATGCCTCCCAAGAAAAGGCTATCAACAAGGCACCGACACGAGGAGAAACTACAACAGCCCAGCTGTCAACTACAACAAGAAAAAAACTTCATCAACCTGACTGACTTGACTCTACACGCGACGAAAAATTATTTTACTCGAAATGTCCAGAAATGTACAATGTCCAGAAATAGCAATTCACCTCGTAGAACCTTTTCGAGTGGACGCTCGCCTCCGAGCTCCCTCTTAAATACACATTTAGATGCATTTTTGTCCTCTGATGATTTCATTGTTGCATGGAACTTACTTTGAGTACAGATACTATCACATGATGTTTCCACTGGATGTACATGTCATAAAGTAGAAGCAAGCAGAGTGTGAAGTGACATTGGGAAGAACCAACTGGATCATTTGAAAGCAAAGATGTGTGCTTGCATTCCTAAAGACACGGATAACATTCACATTTTAACAACTTCGTTTTCTTGAAAACTCACACACACAGACTCGCAAATTGAAAAAAGACAAGGACACGAAAAAAGGACCAAAGACAGAACGAGGACAGGGCTAGAGAGACTACCGAGGATGTAGAGCAGCTAAATACTGGCATTGTGTTGAAAAACTGTCCAGAAGTAAGAACGAACTTGAAGTACACGTTATTTATTTCTGCACCTCGTGGCATGTCAAGACAGCCAATTGAATTGCCTGAGAGGGTGAGACCGACCACGAAAGAAGAGAAAAAAGAAAATGAAGAGCAAAAGCTGTGCCCAACTGTTCTTCCTCTTTCTCTAATGATTACGGCTCAACATCTGGTGGTGAACTGGATGCAGATCTGAGATCTAGAGCACAATGCCCAGAAAACTAAAGTATGTGCAATCACAAGTGCTAACCAGTACTAAAGTATGCAAGATAGGGTGCATGCTACTTTGTACATGAATCATAAGTAGTTAGTGCGGGGCAGGTTCTGGTGCACTTTTTGACCTTTGACCTTTGGGCCAAATAAGGCACACTGTGTTGGTCGTGCTGGGTCTGGCCCCGGGACCCCCCAGAGTTTGACCTTTGACCCCTGCCATGCCATAAATGTGCCATAAAGGTTCTTTTCCGTGGCGAACGTGCACTTGTGCACGTTCGGTGCATTCGCACCGTGGAGTAGTAAAATACGTACTATTCCCTGATTTGCACATCGTAGATGTGCATTGCATGCAGTGACATATTGCGCATGCGTGCATACGCACGCGGAGCGTGTGACCTTCAGTGGCCCTGCGTGTGGAAAAGACGCAGTGCAACACAAGGTGTACTAGTACACGTGTCATTATACTACTCCCTGATTCGCACTTCGTAGATGTGCAGCAAACAAGTGAGTTCACGTGCCATGCACTCGTTGAGCTCCAAGATCAGAACTCGGCTCAACGTAGTACTTGAAGTCACCGTTCCCATTACGTCATGTACATTTACATACACTCTGTTGAAGCACTGAAACATCGGTTTTCGGGGAATTCAACATGCGAATTTTTGAACATTCGGCGAAAAGATGGGTAATTTCTTCAAAACCACTGTTTTCGGCGAATTTTTCGCCCGGCCGATTTGGGAAATGCCAACTATTCATGCATGTACATTAGATGCATATTTCTATTTTGATCGGGATACAGTAAGAATCAACCGGCTACGCCCGGAGTATCATGCATTAAAACAATTATTGAAGGGGTGTCACAGTGAAGCAGTGTTGCTACGCACCACAAATCCCCTCTGCACTGTACCGAATCTATACTGGAGAATCCAGAGTGGCCAGCAAAGAGTCACAACCCGCGGGTATCCAGTCACACTAAGGCATGTCCACCATTCCCCACATATTCACCATAACAAAACACAATACTGTTTACTATAATACACTTTTATTTAAATAATTGACTTGGATGAGTCTGTAGAAGAGAACACAATGCACGCACACGCACGCATGCGCGGACACACACACGCACACACGCACACACACACATCTAGGTTATAGTGCTATACACGTATCTAGGGTTTAGGAAGCACGAGAATATGTCGAAGCACCCACACATACCCCTTCATGCAGTGTACTTCAGTAGCCCAACACGTTACGACCGCTCAGGACCATCACAAAACACATTACGACCGCTCAGGACCATCACAAAACACTACACACTGTTACTACACTGCATACACAGTTACTACACTACGCCTGTTACAAGTACTTACAAATAATTTTGAAAACAAATGGCACATCCCGAAGACGGCAGCTAGCTCCAGACCTTCATACATACGTCATCATCATCTGTAAAACCAAGCATGAGCGCACACAAACACTATTAGTGTCACGAATACGGAAGCAGGGTAAGACAAGAGGATACGAAACAAGTAAGTATCGCTATAACGAGGGGGTAAGTATACATGTAGACAGAGCAGTGCTTACTTACAGGGTCCGGATACGCTCCATGGCGTCCCGGTAGTCGGACTGCAACAGCAGCCCGACTTGCCGGCCCTCCCAGTAACGGGCCCGATGGGCCGCACCCGCCAGGTGTGCGGCCACGGCCTGGCCTCCCACCAGCCTTTCTCCACTGTAAAAACGAAAGAAACCGCAGAAAGCACAGTGTCATAGAGCTCTTTTGTTGGGGGAGAGAGCTAGGAGCACTGCACACTTGCCATTTGTCGCAATATATGATAAGAAAGAGGCGGCGCTTGACGCACCGCCTCAGGTGCTGGAACAGGGGTATTACCCCTGTCAGCTCCACACCGCAGTGGCAAGTGAACGCCATACTGTAAATGTAATGATACTGAAGTGAAGGTGTGAACCGCAAAGCAAGGCCTTTACCTTCTTCCTGTCGAATTCGCTCCCCAGCTGCATACCGACATCACCCGCTAAAATCCAATCATACCAAGTAATGCAAAGGTCATCAGTTGACCTTTTGGACTTTTCAACTCTTATCCAAAACCACCAAGAGGAAAAAACCAGGATGAAGAAGACGTCAGTTGTAGAAGCGTTTGTGGAGGAGTTGTTACATTATTCTCAGTAAATAGATATGGCTGATACATTCGGCGTAGACTTGGACGACCGGTCGTGGTCTCTCACCACGGGTCCTTTACTAATAGAAAGATGGACGCCAATAAGAACTGTTGTGGAGTTGGCAGATCAAAACGCGCAGCAAGAAATTTGGCACGTCGATGGTAGACTCCATCGGGAGGACGGACCAGCTCTTGTTGATAGTAGGGGAGTGTCCGCCTGGTGCTATGGAGGTCGCCTTCATCGCGTTAATGAACCGGCTTGGATAGGACGGGGTAGCATAGAGTACTACCTCAACGGCGCCCGTCATAGAGCCGGCGGTCCTGCAGTCAGTTATTATGACGCCACATGCGGTATTCTACGGTGGTATCACCACGGAAGACTCCACAGGTATGATGGCCCTGCAGTGGAAACATTTTCAGACCTTGGTGAAGACTCTGAGGGGTTCTACCGACACCGCGAAGAGTGGTATTGGAATGGCGTCAGACAAAGGATCGGCGACGGCCCTGCTCTGACGGAGAGATTTGATGGCGCCTATTTGCTGGAAGCCTGGTATGTCCAAGGGCGTCTACACAGAGTAGACGGACCAGCCAGGATCACTCGGAGTGATGATGGTATCACCATCCAGTGGTATTATCACGACCGGCTCCACAGGGAGAATGCGCCAGCCGTGATACGCAGGGAAGGTAACAACCGTGTACGGGAGTGGTACCGATACAACCTTCGGCATAGGGAAGATGGGCCTGCTTTCATCTCTCAGGAGGAGGGTATCTATCAGTGGTACCTCAACGGGGTGTATTACGGTGACCACCATCAAGACCAGGCAATACACCCCATGGAGCTGCAGTACATCAATGTAGTGCCTACTAAGGTAGACTCGTCAGCAATAAGTCATGAGCCCATTTGTGTGATTTGTCAGGATACCCTGGACCGTCCTCTATCCAAGTTGGAGTGTGGTCATGAATTTCACTTCCACTGTATCAAGGAGTGGATCAGTTCTGCCTCCAGCCCAACTTGCCCAACATGCCGCTACTCCATGACTGCTGAGGACTTGGTTGAGTTCTTGTAGTAATACATGACACCGCTGCGTGTAGGCGACTACGAATGACCAGTCATGTGCTACAGATGGACACGGACACGCCACCCTAAGTAGCCATGAGCGGCTATTTGGACAAGGACAACAAAGCACCTCGTGGGTGGCCAAGGTTGACACTAGCCACAAGTCTGGTCGCTCAGTTGAATAAGCTGGGTGTGCCCATGAAGACCATGCAGAGGACAAGACAGACTGGAAGAAACTGTGCAGCTCGACACTCGAGGACAAATCAGTATCAGCAGCTACTACACCTTGCTGATGATGCTCACAAGACAGAAGTGGGGAAAAAAACTGAATTTCTTTATTTAGTGCTCAACTACGCGAAATGTGTTATTATTATTATACATGTTCAACTGTAATCAGTCTGGCTGACTGCCATTCTCTACCACACATTACCGGACACTGTTGTGGTTGTCGTCGTTATCGTCGTCGTTGTTGATGTTGTAGTCGGTTGTTGTCGTCGTTATCGTCGTCGTTGTTGATGTTGTTATTGGTTGTTGTTGTCGGTTGTTGCCGGTTGTTGTCGTCGTTTGTTGTTGGTTGTTGTTGGTTGTTGTTGATGTTGTAGTCGGTTGTTGTCGTCGTTATCGTCGTCGTTGTTGATGTTGTTATTGGTTGTTGTCGGTTGTTGCCGGTTGTTGTCGTCGTTTGTTGTTGGTTGTTGTTGGTTGTTGTTGATGTTGTTGTCGGTTGTTGTCGTCGTTATCGTCGTCGTTGTTGATGTTGTTATTGGTTGTTGTTGGTTGTTGTTGTGTGTTGTTGTCGGTTGTTGTTGGCTGTTGGATGTTGTTGTCGGTTGTTGCTGGTTATTGTTGGTTGTTGTTGGTTGTTGTTGTTGTCGGTTGTTGTCGGTTGTTGGGTGTTGTTGTCGG